CCGTTATGGCATTCTACTTATTTTCCGTTTACCTTCGTTTATTTACGTTTCCATGTTTATCTCTATGCTTTGCACTGTCCACGCTTTCGTGCTACTACCTCTACTGCCTTTGCTCTACGGTATCATTTACGTTTCACTTAATGTTAAGTTAGGCGATTGTTCAATTTTTTTTTACTTCTCCTCTTCTAGCCGCAGACGCATTGTGTGTTGGGAAAAGCCTGATTCCGTTTAGTATTCGGCTCATCTTGGCAACACTCCACTTTCCCACCGTTACTTCTACAAGGCTGCGTCTCTCTCTCTGTCTGTCTGTCTAGTGGATCATATTTCATCCACTCAGCTGTACTGTGCTGTACTGCCGACCAATAGTAAGTGCCAATCTCATGTTCTATTTTACTTCAAACATTGTTCCGGTGAGAATGCCTGTCAATTTATCGCTTGTCATATCTTTACTCATACCAATGATAAAGCATTTAATGTAACGTGCTTGTACCCTTTGTGACCTTTCTACTTTTCATAATTCGGTGTGGTTAAATGTGTTTCGCTGTACACTAAACCTGCTTTTTCCTCTCTCCCCAGCTACCTACCCGCCTGCCTGCTGCCTACCTAAGTTTCATCAGGAATTCTGCATTGGGCGCACTACTTCCCCAACTCTTGCCGCATAAATGGAACTGCCACCTTGTACCCTATTGTAAGTTACCCTTCCTTTTCCCCTCCAGCTCTGCCACTTTACGCAATTATGCGTTACCCCGGTGATTGACCACCAACTTCTCGTTTCAGCAACTTCACTTATTCAACCTCTTTCCTGCAAGAACTCCCCGTTCTCGTTTTCCCCAACACCACCTCATTTACTACTACCTCCGCAGTCGGCTGGCATCTCGCAATATCTCCTCCAGTTGTCCACACCTCCGCCTCCAGCACTACCACATCGCTGTCAAGACATCAACTTTTCGCTTTATCGCCTTGTCACGACATTCCTCCCCTAATGTCACTTACCACATGTTAGTACTGTTAATACTGCAAGGAAGGACTTGGCGTGTCGTCCAATTACTCTTCTACTTCACGTCTCAAGTGGGACGCACATGTTTTTAGTTATTCCCAGCCTTCAGCCAGTTCTTCTCTTCTGCCGATTCGTCATCA